TCAGAAAATTAGTACTATTTGTACTGTAGTAGAATATTATGTATGCAGGTTTTCTGGTACCATTGAGTTGCTGCTATGAAAGCTCACACACGAAAAGGCAAGAAGTCACAGTACTAATAAGGAAACTGTATGACTGTGTGGGTTTTGGAATATAACAAATGTATAAAGGGCAACACATAAAGAACTGTTAAACAGTGTTAAGTGTGTGTTTATATGTACAAATGTTTGCATAGATCATTCAGCAGTTGTATTTAATTTGATATATGTTCTCAACTCACACTTTAGTTATCTAGCAGTTTTGTACAATAGAATTAATTTGTAAACACTGCCAGAATATTTTCTAGCTGGTTTGTAATTTTTTAAGAGTTTTTTTAGATGTGGATCTGTAAATAAAATTGTAGTATTTAAAGTTTTTGTCTTGTGGAAGAGGAAAGTAAAAGTTGTGTGAGCATGAAGATTTGCGAGACAAAGGGGCACTTTTGCGAGGGAAGAGAAAATGAAGACTAACGCAGACCATCTTTTTTTTGTACAAATTAAACACTTGTCCCAATGTGTGTGGGCAAAATACTAATCTAATTTAGCTTTGCATTGTATGCTAGTTTAAAAAAAAAAACAAACCTCTGTAAAATACTGTAAAAAAAAAAAGGAAAAACCAACAAAAAAAGCTTTTATGGTGAGTTTTGTAAATAGATTTACTAAAGGGTGACATGTTCTCTAGCTGTGATCTTACCACTTCAAATGGATGTAATTTGAATAAATTTTGTATGGTAATGAATCAATAAAAATGAAATTTTTTAAAGACTTTAGATTTGTATACAACTATTTAAATTTTTCTTAGTCTTGGTGCCTGTCATACTGTTTCTTGAAACCTGTTACTGTTTTCGTTATTAGTGCAAACACTCATTTGAGAGATAGTTTCAATCCCTTTTTTTTTATGATGCCAGCAATTTCAGTGTTTTTTTTTAAGCCAGACTGAAACAAGAATAAAAGACACATGTTAAGAGACACAGCAGGTGATCCAGAGGTTGGGATTATAAAGATTTATTTTTATTTATTACCTCTCCTCTCATATGAATTATGAACATAATGATGTTAGAAATAGAAATGGTGTTATTTAATCCTACAATAACGTTCAAGTACTTGTTAAGGATCTGCTTAACCTGCCGACTAATAGTTCTCCAGAAGTTTCCTAATAGTAGCTTTGAAAAGAAGTGTTTTCTTGAGTCACTTCCAACAGTCCCTTGCACCAGACCTATATTTATGAACTTATACTTTTCTAGTATTAGTGCTGCACCTTTTTAGATACCTGGCCATCCATCAACTGCAAAAAAAAAAGAAAAAAAAAAAAAGATAATAAAATCACAGTAATACAGTTGATTGCTTAAATGTTGTACCTCTGAGCAAGTCACTTGTGTCTTGTTGACTTCCTGCACACCAGGAGAAGGCTATTGCTTTTTCTGTGCACCTGTATATATTCAAACATCTGCACACAGCAGTACTGAAAGGAAGATTACTGAAAGGTCCTCTGTATATTCTTAATGAATAATAAAGGAGGGTCAGAAGTCTGTGTTCTGTGATCTCCTTTTGAAGCAGAGGTGGCAATAAATATCTGCTGTACCTCCCTGGCCTGTTCTCAGTTTCTCTGTGCTGCTGTTGCCATAAGCACTTTTTTATTTGCCCCTAGAATCTGCTTCTGATTACTAGTTTTCATGTCACTTTCCTCTCTCCTTCCTTCTGCTTTCTGTATCTGCTTTGCAAACTTGGGATGTGCTGAGGTGCAGGATAAAACAAATTAGCCAGTTAAAATACTTATTCCTGCTCCTCCAGGCTAGCATGGTGTACCTCAACATTATTCAGTGTACAAGTATTAGTTCCAGGGAGGTTTTATTGGGGCCTCTGTGTGCTGCATTCCTTGGCTGCCAGCAGATGGAAAAGGTTTTGGAAAAATCTGTCAACATAGTCTGAATGACAGGCAACTATTTATTCCTTTACACACAGGAAAGGAGTTTGGAAAAAAAAAAGGGAGGTTCATGCTCGTGTACAGTAAGAACTCATCCACCTACAAATGACCAGAAACAGTAACTATATTCCTTTTTACTTATACCTGAAAGAATAAATTGTACCTTGATCTTGATGCTAACGTGAACATTTCTGTTGTAGAAAGAATGCAAGGTATGTGAGGTAGCAGGAAAAAGCTATATGTTTAAAAGCAAAAAATTTAATATATGTCTTATTTTTCCCCTGTGTGAAACACAATTAATGCACAATGCCATTAGCGTTCCTGCAGCCAACAGTTGTCAACACTGAGTGAACCATGAGTCTGAATAGCAAAGTCAGTGAAGTGATACTAACCAAAGCATAAACAAGCAGAATTCATCTCCCCATTCTGCTTTTCATGCTGAAGTAAGAGCTGCCTGGATATTACTCTACAGCTAAGTGATGATCAGAAGAATGCTTGCTTGGCCTTTATTAAGTCTGGGAGTTTCTTTACCCACTATTTTTAAAACTTGACAGGAAGAAAGTGTCATATATAACAGGAAAAAATGGGCTGTTACCAGTTCTGAGAGGTGCTGAATGTTGCTCACAAATGACCAACCAGATTCCTCCTAAATTTCAAGAGTGGAGGAAAAAAATATCTAATTTCTGGTGTCTCTTTTAGGACATTTTTTCTGAATACCTTCCTGCCCATTTCCACCCAGATATGATGTTAGTTATCAGAGAATTAGGTTGCCATATAAAAATTGAGCCCTCACCTCCCAGGCCACTTTCCTTCCCTAAGCATGCTTGTTGAGATGCTCTAAACCCACTAAGGATGTATCTTCTGCTAACCAGGACCTGAGGCTGAGATTTGGATTTAATTTTCCCAGCAGTTTTTGTGTTTTTCCAACCACCTGCTCCTGGCAAAACCTATGACTTTAGGTGGCAGCTCAGGTAACTGAGTAACTGAGGCTGATGTTTTTGAGTCTAGCAGCCCTGAAGAGTAGGAAGTGAGGTCTGCAGGCAACTTGGAAAGGATGAAATCTAAAGCTCTTCTTTGGATGCTCAAGGAACTGGAGCACGTATGCTTCAATATCTTCAGCCCAGAGAAGGCCAGCACTGGAAGTTGTACTCCCAGCCACTGTCACATAAAAAGCAGTTTTTCCAGTTTTCTTCCTGCAGTCAGGAGGTAGTGGGGAATTATCTGCTCCCTTCTCTCCCTGCTGTGCTACCTGCTAGGAATGTGCTACAAAGCAATTTAGGTTTGTGAGCTTCCATGGCACTGGGAGAGTGCCTTCCAATTTGTGGCTACATCCTGGGGCTCACCGGGACCGTGCTGGCACAAGGGCTGCTTGCTGCTGTGAATTCTTGGCAGCAGGACAAGGTAAAGGCTCTGCCAGATCATGCTGGAGCTGATCAGTGCGGCCTATTTCTGTCATTAGGTGTGGGACTCATGGGTTATTCCTGCTTGGGAGCTGCTCTTGGAGATCACTGCTTCCCCTTAAGGAGTAGTGCTTGTCAGTGCTGGCCCTTTGGAGATGCTTGGTTATGTCTTGCAGGCTGTGCTCTGCTCTTTTAGCCAGCTGTAAGCCAGCACTGGTGTGTGCCCAGCTGGGTTTTTAAGCAGAGCAGGAGCACTTGGCTGCTGGGGACAGCTGTGAGGGAGGGCAGGGCAGGGCTCCCTGAGGAGAGAAGATGAATCCCAGGAGTGCATGTGAAATACTCCGAGCTGAAAAGAAGGAAAGGAATCGCTACCCTGATGAGGCAGCAGTAAAAATGCTCATTGGGGATACAGACACCATTGCTACTGACCTGGCAGGGACTTCTTACTCCACAGGAGGTGGTCTGAAATAGATCAGCATGGCCGCCCATTTTGAAATATTTCCCTCCATTCTCTCGTGGCTAAAAATGCCGCAAAAGTAACAAACCACACATCAGACAGTGCCTCACTGAGAGCATCTTTGGAAAGTCCTTGTGTGCCTAAGCAAAGACCAAATAGGAAGGCAAATATATCTTCAACTGTAACAATGACTTCGTCATGAGACCAGGGTGGTATTAATAGTGCTCAGTCCTGCTCAGAATGATTTGTTTTTAAAGACTGATTTAAGTGAAGTGCTTATTTCTTTCTGACCCATTTCTCTTCTTTAAATCTCACCTGTTTCTTTGTCCACACTTTCTTTTTTTTTTTTTCTTTTTTCTTCCTGTGAGCATTGTCAGATAAGCATTGTATAAAGTAAGCACCAGTTTTTAAGAAAAAGGCGAGGGAGATGATATTCTTAATTACAAGTTGTCACATTTTAGCTGTGAGTCAACCGACAGACCTATTATGGAGTGCACCCAGGGTTTTAATTCACTTTCCCTCCAGCTCCAGGGAGGCTACAATCTGCTTTTTTAAGAATAAACTGATTGCAAAGGCTCCTTCTAAAGAGAGAACCTAACGTTTGAAATGCAACTACAGGAAATGGTGACTTTTACATCCCAAAGCTGACTACCTCAAAATAGAATATACTAAAGATACAGTATAAATAATCGTTTTAGGTTGTGTGTATATTAAAGCCAAAGCCATAATAACATGCTCACTCTCGACAACACAGATCAGCAGGGACACTGCACGCTTAACCTGCTCAGAGCTTTACCTTCAGCCATCCAACAACCATAAACATCAAACAGAGAAGTTTGGAGAAAAACAGTGCCAGAAACTTCAGCCCTCTGATACTAAATATTTTGACCAATATCTTTTAAGGTATTCAGCAAAGCTGCCGCTAACATTGTATTTTAAAGAAATAAACAATGAAAAATAAAAATAAGAATAAAAAAAGAGTGTTGTGGCCAGAAAAGCATTGAATAGCTCATCACCCATTTGGATCAGACACATCAGCATCGTAGGACAGGCATTGCTGAGATTGCTGTTTTCCAATGAAAACGAAGACGAAATTCCGAGGCTCCGGGAGACCGCGCTCTCAGCGGCGAAGCGGCGGCGCCGCGCCCTCCGCGCTGTTGTGGCCCCCGCCGGCCGCCGTCCTGGCGCCGCTGCGCGCGCGAGGCCTCGGGGCGGGGCGCGATGGCGGAGCCCGGGTGAGGCGCGGGTGAGTGTCGGGGTCGGGCCGGGCCCCGGCCTCCTTCCCCTCCGTCCATCCTTACCCGCTTCTCCCGTCCTGTCCCGTCCTTCCCTCCCCTGCCTGGCTGTGGGGACCTGGCCGAGCTGCCCTTCTCCTGCCCGCGCCATGCTGCCGTCCCCTGTGCGGCCCTCCCGGGCTGCGCGTTAAATTCGGGGGGAGGAGATGAACGTCCGGGCGGGAATCTGCGGAGGGGCCGGGTTGCGGCTCGGGGATGGTGGGGTACCCTCGGCGGGCTGGGGGAGCCGAGCCCAGCCGGGCTCCGGGATGTGCGTGGGCCAGGCTGCCCCTCGCCCGTGGGCCGCTCTTGTGTGTGTGTTTATATATATATATGTGTGTGTGTGTGTTCACATATTTATGTGTATGAGGAGAGACTGCGGGAACCAGGTTTGTTTAGTCTGGAGAACAGAATACTGAGCGGGGATCTCATGAATGCGTGTAAATATCTCAGAGGCGGTGCCGGACTCTTCAGCTGCCCAGTGACAGGACGAGAAGCAGCGGCCATGAACTAAAAGGAAGGAAATTTCACTTTAACGGGAAGAAGAACTTTACATTGAGGGTGGCCGGGCACTGGAACAGGCTGCCCAGGGAGCTTGTGGCGTCTCTCTCTCTGGACACGTTCAAAACCCACGTGGGGACATCCCCTTGTAACCTCCCCAGGTGGCCCGGCCGTGGCAGGGCTGGATGATCTCTGGAGCTCTCTTCCAACGCCAACAATTCCATCGTTCTGTGATGTGTACATATATATGGACACACGCCCATAAAACATACGTATATGCTTCAAACTCAGTCTCTGTGTATTAACGCTGCAGTTTTCTTCTGCTCTGTGTGGGCCGGGAATAAAATCCCGGGGCTTTACCGGAGACACGTGTTGGTAAATAGCTAAAAGGAGCAGCCCTCTTCCACCTGGATGGGAGTTCCCCGTTGGAATGTGCGAGGAGGTTGAGCAGGGGTGGCCAAACCAGACTGGCACACTGGAAGTTTTGGTTGTGACAAGATGTTAAAACAGCTCTAGTTTTTTAATTGCTCTAATGTTGCTCTAAACTAATGGTTTTTTTAAAGAAAAATGTAGAGTTCTGTAGGTGCAGCTGGGCTGTACGAGAAGAATACATTAACTTTTAATTTTATTATCACTTCTTATTTCAATCCCTTTACCAGAATAGCTGCAGGAATTCGTTTTTATTTTTGTTTTTTCCTTGTGAAGGAGATCTCATGCATGCATATGGAACTAGTGCAGATATCAAGTAATCTGTTTTAACATAAGTTCCACAGTGTTTTAATTTAAAAAAAAATGTGAATGACTTGAACTAAAATTTGCTGTTAATCTTTCTCCCTTCTTTTGTTCAAAATTTTAAACTGATTGAAGATAGAATCTGGAGAAAGTCTGAGATAACTTAAGTACATCTGACTTAGACAAAAAAAAAAAGACTCTATAGAAGAAGGATAAACAGAACAGTGCCACTGCTCAGGAGACACGGAAAACGTGGGAACTCTTCCACCTTGCCAGCCAGCGTGTATACCAGCTCAAACTCATGGGCAAGGAATGTATTTCTGCAAAGGGAGGTTGAGGGCTTGTTGGACAATAACATGAATTCATGGCTTTCTGTCTGCTAGTTCTGCTTTTTCACGCCATATCTTTTTTCCTTTTCCTCTTCCTTATCCCCCCACCCCCCAGGTTTACTGTCCAAGAGGATTTATACCTTGCTTAAAAAGGTAGGAATTTTAGTTTGGCTGTGTTCTTAGTTCCATGGGTCACTGAAATAAGCTAAGCTGATTTGTTTTTCCAGCTGCTCCATTATATTGGGTATTTTTCTGTAAGAGAGGAAAAAATGACAAATCAAAACTTTTTATTCCCTTCCAGATAGTGATTTGAACTTTACTTATTTGTACATATTCTCAGTGGTGTAAGTTAGACATAAGAGATGCCACTTTTCTCTCATATTCTTTATTGCTGGACTTTTCACAAATGTTTATTTTCACCTTTTGCTGCACTATTGTATAGATCCTGTTTTTTTTTTTATCTAGAAGAATGCTAACTGCCAGCTTGGGCAGATGCATCCTCTTTGTGACATCATTCTGTTCCTTTTGAAGTTAAATGCAGATGTGTGATGGTTCAGCTTACGTGAAGTTTTATTTTAAAGTATATTTTGCACGATTGACTGGAAAGTGCACGGGTGCTCAACTTTTTATGTTCTTCAATAATTCATTTGCAACATCTGGAAGTGTTTTTATGCCAGTAGCAAACCTTCAGTTACTGAAGTATAAGTTTTAAGACATTAAAGCCTTGGTTTTTTGTTCTTCATGGTCACCTAAGAAAGTGTTGTTTTTTCCCTATAAACTGTGAAATACCCTTGTATGATTTCCTTAGTGGGCTGTTGGTTTATGTAAAACACCTGAGTTTCCAATGGTACTTCAGACTTTATTCTAACTTTATTCTATTGCAGCACAGTGTGGTGTGTAATTAAGCAGTAGCTTTTTTTACAGACTTTTCTAGCAAATAGCTTTTTTTTGATTCCTGAAAACTGATCTGGATTTTTGCATCTGCTGGGAGATACATATGCATATATCTTTAGTTTCTCGTGAAAAATATAATTAGATATTAGCAATCTTTTAATATATTAATTCTAGCCAGATTATAGTATATATATATTTTATTAGTTAGGTATAGTTGTTTAACATTCTGTACCTGAAAACAGAAATTTTTATTTTACTGTCCCAGTGAATGAGCTAATTAGGATGAAAGCCATGTGGGATCAGGAATTATAGGAATAGTTTGGTTTGTTTTCAGAAGGACTGTGCAAACATATTGGTTAGTGTCCACACACAGATAAGAGAGCCAGAATGGGCTCTGGAGCAGTCACTTGGGTTCTGTGTCTTTTGTTCTTTTTCTGTGATGTGAGTGGAAGTACATCCATCATGTGGCAAGAGCTCACTATTTTATTGTGATGCTGACATGATGTAAAATACCTGTATTTTGAATGTGTCGTGTCAGAGGAGGTGAAGGGAGCTTGAGGTAGGAGATGACAAGGGACAGATGATTTATAAATAAGCTCTGAGGAATCTGTATGGTTTGTGACTTTGTCCCTGCCTGTGTTTGAGGTACTGGGGGAAGAGGGCATTCAGGAAATGTCTCTGGTAGTGAATTGTTTGTGTGTACTCAGTATCCCTCATGTGCGTGATACATTGCACTTATGCTTAGGGATACATCTGACTTTTCCTTATGGGAAATGTGCAGTAGGTACAAGGCCTTGGTTTTGTATTCAAATGCTTTCCTAATGCCAGTCTTCTCCCAGCACTTCTTGAAGATGCCTGCTGCCTGTGAGCCAGTGCTTGAGGATATTGAAGACATCGTGTCAGCAGAGGATTTGAAGCCGCACGATCGGCAGTTTGCGAGAAGGAATGTTTTTCCCAAAGTGCGAAAGCGCAACTCCCAGAAGAACGCTCAGACAGATGATGAGCCCGCCAGTGACAGGTACAGTCTTACACTGACCCTGACTTGGTGCTTTTCTTGTTTCTCCTATGCACTTGTCAGATTTTAAAAATAAGGTTGAAGTTTGTGTTATATCTTAATGTGAAATCTGTGTACAAGATATAAATGAGTAAAATAGTCCGCATAGAATGTAGAGAGAATAAATAATAAATCTTAAGCAAATTCCTTTTCCTAGACAGATTTTCTGTGGAAATCAGTTATTGCTGAGGTGTTGATGAATGGAATAATCAGACTGGAAAAATGATTTCTGTTATGCTTTTATGTGTAAAGGATTTCTGAAAAATTGTCTGTTTAATCTTAATTATCTAAATATAATCTGAGCTTTTCAAAATGCAGTTCTGGAGTAGCCTTTTGACTTGTGAAATGAGTAATAGGAGCAAAATCCTGAGAGGTGCATAAAGGTTGGGACTGGAAGGTCATCTTTTCCAAACCCTCTGCTTGAGCACTGCCACAAAAAAGCAGTTGGCAGGACTCTGACCAGGTAGTTTTTGAGTATCTCCAGGAGATGGAGATTCTGCAGTCTCCCCGAGTAACCTGTGCCAGTTCTTGGTGATTTTTAGAGTGAAAAAGGTGCTAAGAGGGAACCTCCCATGTTTCAGTTTGTGCCTGTTGCCTCTGGTCCTGTCATTGGGCACCACTGAAAAAAATCCTGGCTGTGCCTTCTTTGCACTCTCCCTTCAGGTATTGATGTACTTTGATGAGATCATCCTGAGCCTTCTCCAGGCAGAGCACTCCCAGCACTCTAAGCTGTTTCTGTTTTGAGGTGTGTTCCAGTCCCTTCATGATCTTTATGGCCCTTTGCTGGACTGTCTCCAGTGTGTCCCTGTCTCTGTTGTGAGTGCATCCTGCCAGGGCCCAGGGACTTGTGTATGCTCAGTGTGCTGAACTGTGTATTCTCTGACCCAGTCTCCTTTCATGAAGGGTGCATCAGCCTTGCTTCAGTCTTTAAACCCGTTTTCTGCATCCTGGGATGTGGAGAGGCTGTACTTGTGTGTACATCCTGCAAGTGACATAGGAAAATTTCTTTTGAACTCAATGTTTTATTTCAGTGGAAATAGTATGCAGTAAGCATGAAATGGATCTTTGTGTTTTTCCTACTTGTGATTTCCAGAAGAACAGAATCAACTTTCTGCTGCAGTGGAATTGATTAGAGTATAGGTCAGCTCAGTTATTGATTTTAGTTTCTACTGCAGGTCTGAGATCTATGTTTTTTTCTTTTAAACATTAGTTTCAAGTTGGTGCATAAAATTTCCCTAGATGATAAAAATGAAAACAAATTGTGTATGAAAATTTAATTTCCTGTGGAGAAATAAAATTCTGGGTTTTCACTGATGTTGAAAAGAGATTTTTATAAACATAACAATGCATTTTTATCTGCATGCTCCTAAAGGTGCATTGGCCCCAGTCTGCCAGGAGTGTATGGACATCTGAGCTGGTGCTCTGTAGATACTTCACACAAGTAGTTCATGCCCAGAGTGTTCAGGTACTATATATTCTTAGCAGGCTTCAGTGTTTCAGTGTTTTGTACCCAAGAAAGCACATTGAACATGTGTTGTTTAGACAGCAGGAAGTCTAAATACCCTGCGTTTGCAGTTAATGATCATTAATGTTCCATCAACAAATTTCTATTTTTAGCTAGGGGAAGTGTCTGTTAAAAAAGAAGCGTGGAGGGGGAGGGGGAGGAAAAAAAAAAAGCTGTAGGCAGGGTGCAGTATTGTGTTCCAGGATGTGTGGTGTTCTTGTACTGGCATCTTTAGCTCATTGGCAGTTATCCCAGGAATTTCAATGAGAGCTTCTTACAGAACTTTTTGTTGGTTTTTGGAGCCTTGTATGTGCTAGCTGCGCACTGCCTGTCTGCCATGCTGCTTCTGTAGCCCGGAAAGGTTGGGATGGGGGCTTTCTGCTGTTGGTGTGGCTGGTGGCCATCAAGTTAATTTATAGAGCTGGCTTGTGTGGAGGGAACTGTATGCATGTTGTAATATTAAAAGGCTGCAGTTTGTTTGCTGGTGGCCTAATTTCAGTGCTGTCACTTGAAGGTTACTTGTTACATGGTACGATAATTTTGAGAACTTTGGAGAGTTGAAATTTGGGATTTTTTTTGTATTTGTGTGTTTTGCTGGGGTTTTTGTTATTGTTTTAACATAACTGCAATGCACTGATTCTGTTGTTACCCTACAGCTCCTGCACCTTCTCCATGCTGAAACTCTTTTCTATCTCTTTTCTTGCTAGTTGTGGTGGATTGACTCTACCACAAGGGAGAGAACTGGAAGAGTGAAAGTGAGAAAACTTGTGGGTTGAGATGAAGACAGATAAAGTGAAGGAAGGAAGGAGCAGGGAAAAACCCCAAGTGATGCAAAAGCAGCCATTTGCCACCTCCCACAAGCAGACTGGTACCCAACCAGTCTCAGAACAGTGTTTTTTTTGGAAAGACCAAAGGCACAGCTTTTATTGCTGAACATGATGTCATCTGAAATGAATTATCCTGTTGGTCAGCTATTCTACCCATGTTCTTCCCAACCTGTTGTCCATCTGCAGCCTGCTTGTGGCGGGATGGAGCACAGTGGGAAACAAGCAAGCACTGTTCAATGACAGCTGAAACCACCGGTGTGTTAACACTGTTCCAGTCACAAACACAAAACACAGCCCTACAGTGGTTTTTGTTACTCTATCCCAGCAAGGCCTAATACCCATTACACTAAAATCACATAATTACTATTTTTCCTCAGCTGTTTTGGAGTCGTTACTGTTTGCATTGCTTATTTCATGTTTGAAGAATTACAATTCATTCAGTCAATTCAGTGGGCTTAACAGTGAAGCTTGTTCATCATTTAACTTGCATTTCTTATTTGTTTTTACTTGACAGCATTATTCCTGGTGTTCAGAAAATCTGGATTCGTACATGGGGATGTTCTCACAATAATTCGGATGGTGAATACATGGCTGGACAGCTGGCTGCATATGGATACAAAATTACAGGTAACAGTATGAGTGAGCCCTGTAATTCAGTTTTTCTGGGGTGAATGTTCAGAGTTGTCAAGCTGTCATCAAATGTTTTCAGTCTTAATTATGCTTTTAAAAATCCCCTTCTGATCCCTTTCTGATCTGAAGGTGAGGAGGTAAAGTGTTTTCTTGGCATTAAGCAGAATGATTACCAGATGAATGCTTTCAGAATGATTAGATTTTCTTGATAGGGCAGACATCAGATAGATGCAATTCAGTGCCTTTTTTGACATTTTACTTGCTAAACTGAATTGAAAAGTTTTCATAATAGTGGATGGAAAATATATTAATTCTTTGGTTTTTTGTAATTGATGGAACCCAAGGGAAGGAGGGAGAGAGGCAGTGTTTTCACTTGGTGATGTGTGTGTTTGCATTGGAGCAGAGGTGCTCTACTCCAGGTAAACGTTCTTTCAAGAGGGATGATCAGTGTGATAGAGGTGGGATGATACAGGATTGTACCTCATGGGTTCCAAAGAGAAGAGAATGCTGTTTCTCTTTCCCTTCCAAGTATTTTAAATCTCTCCATCATCTTGTTCTACTTTCCCAAGCCTAAAAATATGTCCAAACTTTTGCTTATGCTGACCACATTTCATCTCCTTAATGCAAAATATGCTGACAGAAAAGTTGAGAAGTTGGATTAATACCATGTTTCAATATACAAGTATTATCTAAATATTTTTGTATAGCTTTTGACTAGTCAAAATAGAAACTTAATTTTTATTAATTAATTCAAGTTCAGGTGTGTCTTGTACCTACACTTGTATACTGAAAGACTACAAGGTTGTCTGTCCTGACATTTTTCTAAGAACAATACAGATTTCACAGAATGATTTCCTGATTTTCACATGAATGTGTCATTATACCATGAAACAGTTGCATCTAATTTTCCTTTATTGCTGCTGATCTTTCTTATGTAGAAATAAGACACTAAGGTAATAAAGTGCTGAACTACTTTAAGGAACCCAGGTGATTATTTAATTAGCAGTACAACTCTGGAGTAGGTATGCTCTTTCCACAGAGTGGAAGTGGAGTGCTGGTCCAAAACCCCTTATTTGTGGCAGCTGTTTGTATAAGATTGAAAATATGTTCTCATTATGGCTTTTTAAAATTTAATTCCTCTTTACCTTTTTCATTCTACTCCATATTATTCCAGAAGCTGCTTTTGGCTTGTCAAGATTCAGATGACTGTGCTGTGCTTTTGGAATTTTACTAGGAGAGATTTAGGGAGGATGGGAGTGCAGTGAAGGAACGAACTATGTTAAATTTTTGATACTTTATATTTTTAGAAAATTAACTGTTAATAACATTAGAATAGAAATAAGTCTACGTCTAGAATCTGAAACTGAGAACTAAAAACCTAATAAAAGTTGCGGTTGCTGAGAGAGGAGTCCCAGAGTAATTTTGGTAGTTGTACATGAAACTGACCACTACTTTCTAGTGTTATTAAATCTAAGTCTTGATTTAGTTTATGTTAATGTGTGTACATACATTAAATGGAACAAACAAAAAAACCTCAATGCTAGGTGATAGGCAGAAATTACACAGTGGAGTTTCTTCTTTTGAAATTAAGTAATTCTTGTCAATCTGTTCTTAAGATGGCGTGTTTGGCTTTTTTTATATTTAGTCATCTGGGAAGTTCAGATAGGATGTTAAATAGGGATTTAATCTTTTTGTCCTGTACAGTGAAGCAGCTACTCAGTAACTGTTTCTTAAATGATCCAAATGTCAAACATTTCTTGAAATTAAACTTAATATTGTTTACGGTATGCAAAATTAAGAAGAAAATATTTTGTAAGAGGTATTTTGTAAATCAATCCCTGTGTTGCTAGAATTTGTTAGTTTTATGTAAAACTGTTATAATCTTGGGGAAAAGATAGAAATACTCACTAAGATGAAAGATTGGCTGTTGTCACAGTGTCTTGGACAGCTATGAATTGGAAGTGTTTGGATTAACCTATTCCTTACATGTTCCTAAGCTTTTAAGACAACATTTCCTGAAAAGATGCTGGAATAAAGTTCTGGCTTTAGAAAATAAGATGTGAGCTTTTTTTGCAGTTTTTACTCCATTATAAAGGAGTCAAGCACTGTTTCTAGTGTCTTCTGTCTAATTGCAAGATTGGAAAAAAATATAGAGGGAAGAAAAGCAGCATCAGACAGATTCCTGTTGCTAACTGGCAGTTGTAACAATGCAACCTGCCTTACAGGTTGACTTATCTGAAACTGAACATGGATATAATGTCCTCCTTGCTTTTCATGTGTTTCAAAAATGTTCTTTCTGTACAAGCTCCCTTTGTTGCCTCCAGGAGTGTCTGTATCCAAAGGTGAAAACTGAGGGCTGTACTTTTCACAGCAAAGATTGCCTCTGTCTGGGGAGAGACCAGAGTGTGAATCAGCAGTATACATATACTGCAATAACAGCAATGATGATTAAAGTCAGGGACTGCATCAGCTTAAAAATAGGCAAAGGGAAACCAGCAGAAGAGTTGAACCTATTTTTGTATCTGCTTTTACAGTGTGAAGGTGGGCAGCATTCTGAACAAATCTTGCATACCATCCTATGGGAACACAAAGCTCTTTTATAAGCCTGAGCCTCACAGAAATGTGTGGACCAGCTGCTGTCAATGTAGGGCTGTACCATGGGTAGTTGTTCATATTCTTAAAACGGTGTAGCTGATGGTGGCTTTACTGGTTCTAAAACTGGTTTTGGTTTCTTGGCAGCATGACTTGCTGTATAGTTTAGACATGCCTGCAGACCTGCTGGAGTGCTCCCTGTGAGATACGCCCTGGAGGAAGAAACTCTCATGGTACAGACTGCCTGTAATGCCTGCTGTGAAAAACAGGAAGTGGGCGAGCTGGGAGCTTTCAAATATTGTGAGCGAGATTTTTGTTTGGAAGGGACTTGAGTATGTTTGCCATGTAGCTCACTTTCTCTCTGAAAAATGGAACTGCACATGTGTAGTCAGACATAGAATACTTTGACTTCTCAAGTGGGTAGTTCTATTCACTTACGTTGACATCTCTGTGTTTCTGGTTTTGTGGAATTAATGGGTTTTGGCCCAGCTTTGAATGCATTTTGGTGGACCAAGACATTAAGTATTCTTGTTATTTCCTACAGGTTGCTTCTGGCTCAGGGCTGTTCAGGTCCCTCCTCAGCCATTGTAAAACATGCTGGGGGTAAGAAAAGCATTGCTGGTAACTTAGAAATAACAGAAAAATGAGCACTAACTTTTTCCTTGATGAAGACGAAGTAAAAACTGCTATTAAACATTCAGTGAGGCTAAACCAGTCACAGTTTATCTGCACTACATTTTCATGGATTTTAGAAATAAATGCTAGCACAGAACATACTCCTCATCTAGCATGGGATTCTACAAACAAGAATTGTTTCTGCTAAGTCAGTGGGCTTAGCTTTGATGTAGCACTTAGAAACTGGGTTATGTTACAGACCTTTAGCTTTACTTGTGCAGTTTTAGACTAATCTGAAATTAGTTCAGGCATCCTATTCACTGTCTCAGAGATTTCTTCTCCAAGTGTGTTGGATGCAAAGTTGCTGGCTGTGTAGAGTTCACTCCATTATTGTGTTTAGTTGGCAGGACTTGGATCAGTGAGACTTGCCAATTTTTACTGTTTATAGTCCAAGTTATATGTCTTACATCTCTGTAACTCCCTATGCAGAGAATTTATGTATTTCTCTAAAGCAAGTACCAAATAATATTTTGAAATCCTGTTAAAGAAATTATCTGGGTTTTTTTGCCTCTTCTACTTGTTACTTATCTAAACACTTGTCAGTTTTGCTTACCAGTGGATATAACTGAGGTATCATTAAGACTCTCCATCTGCTTAAACAACACATTTGAGTAGAAGAAAGAAGACAAGGAAGAAAGAATGATCTCCTTAAGACCTCATGTTAAAAGAAGACAGGTGTAAAAGGAAAGAGTCTGCTGTTGAAAAGCAGATGAGGTGCTGCAATCTAAAATGGACTTCAGCATTTAATGGCATTGTCTCGTGTTCATTGTGTTGCATAAGCCATGCTTGTCTAGACTTTGGCCATCCCCATACAGATGCAGCAAAGCATGCTGCAGCATGAATTTTATTTTATTCATCCAAGTGCAAAATAAAGAAAATTACTAAGACTGTACAGGTATTGATTCCTGGCTTGTGAATCACTTCAGTATCTGGTCCTTTGTTTCAAGTGTTGTCTTAAAAGTACTTTTGCACTACACAATAAAATTTTAATACTAGATTTTGATTTATTTTATTGTTTTAAAGTAGAGATCTCTTTAATAGGTTACTGTATCATTAAAATAAGCTCTCTGCAGCCTGCATTGTGGTTGATGAAGTATTTTGACTAAGATCTCTGCTGGTTTCCAGTGTATGCTTTTAGTTGCTCAGAATCAGCAGTTGGTCTTTCCATTTTTTGTTCTCCACCCTGCTGATAATGCTCATCTGTTCCTTCATAAGTATCATGTAAAATTGTAGTGACTACTGTGTAATTTTTGGGGTGAGCCATCCTCATTGTGAAGTATTTTTAGTATTCTTTATTAAGCTAAAAGACAAATCTTTATTAGCTGCTCATGAAGTGCCTTATTAGTCAGAGAATTCAAGCTTAGTCCTTGTGTTTGGATTTGTACTTTTCAAGTGGTTGTGAGTTCCAATTTAGAAAGAAAAGAGAATTTGCAATCCTTTCTTGAGGGGTAGGGTATGCGTGGTGTGTGCTTAAATAAGCAAAATACCCTCCCCCACATTTTCTGTTGATGAGAAGTGTTTCTGTTTTCTCTACAACACTGCAGTCATGAAACTGTCTCTGAAGCAGCTGAGTAATGGAGAGAAATGAACAGAAATGTAAATTCTGGTGCTTTGTACCCTCACTGAAGAATTTTCCCATTGTCTGTAACTCGTAGAGTCACAGCCCTGTATGATTTTTACATTGCTTACAAGCATACCTGTTCTGGCACAGATTTTTCTTTCAGATTCAA